TTTAATATGCATATTAAGAGTAAAAATTTAAAAAATCCTTTTATAACGCTCTCTCTGTTCATTTTTAATAGATTTGATTTTTTATCTAATAAAATAGAGACGTAACAATTTATTAATAAAATTTTATATTTATCCCTAATTAAATATCACTTAAATAAAACTTTTTATTTAATATATGTTATAATTATTTTTTTAAATGAGGATTAATAAGAATAAACACATTAAATGATATTTTAAAAATAAAAAGTGAATAATTAAACTTGCACACACTAAATAAAAAATTAAATCTATCAAATTTGAATTAAAAGATAAATTAATGAAAAAAATAAAGAAGATGTTAAAAGAATTTTTATCAATCAAGTGATTTAATTAAATTTAAAAAGTAATTTATAAAGACTATTTAAGCAAAATGTATTATTAATTAAAATAAAAAATATATCATTATTTTATTAAAAAATACTTGAGGATATATATTATATAATATTAACTAATTAATTTAAAAAATTAATTAATTAAAAAATATATATTATTATTAAAAACAAATGAAGTAAAAGCAAACAAAAGAAAAGCAAAGGCGTGTAGGTGCAGTGCCACGGAAGCGGATGACAAACGGCGTCAGGAAGTCAGTTAGCGGAAGGGCAGATTTGCACCCATCGTGGGGTTGGAGGGCTTATTTGCCACTTTTTTAGTTCAGGGGCTTATCACTTGCTGTCAAAAACGTTGAGGGCCTTAAGATGGGTTTTTGCCTTTAAACAATCAGGTACTACATGAAACCAGTGTTTTGAAAATCGAATAAGAGATCAAATCCCTTCGATTCTTGGTTTGTTCGGTTTAATTAGTTAAATTATTTAAATCGTCGGGTCAATTGAATATAAATAAATATAATATTATGTTAAAATTTGACACCATGTAAGTGGTGGTTCTATTAGTCCGTCATTTTGCATTTGGTGAAGAAGACACAGGTTTGAGCCCTTTTGATACTAAAAATGTAATTATTTTATTTTTAACTCTTAATTTATAGTATGTTAACGGATTTTCTTCCTGCATAGAAGGTACATCAAATATAATTTTTTAAATTATTTTATAAAAATGTTAAAAATTAACATTAAATTAATTACAATCAATTAAAATAATTTATGTAAATATCCATTTTTATAATTTTTTATATAAATTAATTATAAATAAATGTAAAATTTTGTATTATTATATTTTTA